TTATAGAGCAATGTGGGATCAATACTGAAGAACTCCAGAAGCACAAAAGAACGGGCACTATCATGTTCCCCTTTGGGAGCCTGCGTACATAACCGTGTATCCATCTAAAGGGACCCTGGAACCGGCTTTCCTAAGCTGGGGTCGTGTACACTTACTCAGCACTCCTCATGTGACTGTGAGCGTCAGGAGTGCCCAAGGACTGAGACATTCAAGGACATGCTTCGGAGTCAGAAGAAGACTTTCGTTCTGCTTTACATGGGAATGCTCTATGGTCTTTTGCCCAGGGTCTCTTCTCAAAGCTAGGAAACTTTGGAGATACTTGAAACCTGTTGTGTCTCTGAAAAGAAGATCACTGTTCTTAATAGAATAAACTTGTCATAAGAACTAGAGAATTAAAAAGTATTTGATAAATATTCTACGATACTTGGCTAAAGTGGATCACTTTTTTGACGTTGCCATTTCTAGTAATAATTCCTTTGTGTTTAGCCATCCCTACTTCACACTTGGGCATTTTGACTCCTCGCTCTCTCATCCCTCCATATGGGAACAGTCATCAAATCATAGTCATCTGTTTCCAGGTGACTCACACCTGCTTCCCCTTAGTCATCTCCCTGCAAGCAATCTGATATGGGCTCTTATTCTGCCAAAAGTTTGCATTACTAATATAACTGCCTAATTGTTTTGCCTTTAGGGACTTATTTTTTTCCTCTGCTTTTTAAAAAAGGAATACTTAGGGCCAGACCGGTGGCACAGTGGTTAAGTCTGCATGTTTTGCTTTGGCAGCCCAGGGTTTGCCGGTTCAGATCCTGGGTGCGGACCTATGCACCACTTGTCAAGCCATGCTGTGGCGGGCGTCCCACATACAAAGTAGAGGAAGATGGGTATGGATGTTAACACAGGGCCAGTCTTCCTCAGCCAAAAGAGGAGGCTTGGTGGCAGATGTTAGCTCAGGGCTAAGCTTCCTCAAAAAGGAAAAAAAAGGACTATTTACTTAACAAAACTCCTTCAGCACAGTGAGCCTAAAAGAGATTCACAATTTAATGAAAGGCTTACCTCAAGAACTTTAATATGTCATTGAAACACCAAGACCAATGTACTAAAATTATCAATATTGAGTGCTAAACTTCCTAATTAACTTTAAACAAAGTGTACTTGGATATGTTCTACAGGATATTAAATGAAATAAACACAATATAACAAGCTTACTAAATGCTTTACTTTGAATTATACCCACAACTCCTCTACTTGTTTTACATTTAAAAAATAAAAAGAATATATTAACAATGTGTAATGTGATATGGTTAAAAAATACAATTAAAACTGCTTTAGCAAGCTATACTTATTACCTTAAGTAAGCTTCTGACTTTTTTCTTGAAAAATATTGAAGCTGAAAATTCCAAAAACAAATCCTCATTTCTACATGGAATGAATTTTATTAATAATCATACTTATATAAGCCAACATTTCCTATGTGCTTGTTATGTGCAAGGCACCAATCTGTACACTTTACATGAATTTTTTAATTCAATTTTTCGTAAAAACACTTTGAGGTAAGTACTACTATTCTTATCCTGTTTTAGTCTTGAGCAAATGAGAGACTAATTCATTTACTCAAGTTCATAACTCTAGGAAATGCTATGGTCAGATTTGAAAACCAGACATGCTGAACACATCACATTTTCTAAATTGTTAAAATTAATTTTGCCCCTTTCTTAAGATTGTTTGAACTGAGCTGATAATCAAGATTAATTGCATTTCTCAAGTATATTTTACTTGAAATACGATTACCTTCCTTTTGCTCCTTCTATTCCTTCAGATATGTAGCTTTCACTGCCACAAGTGTCTATTTATTAGTCCTTGGTTACCTAAGCAATATGTCTTTGAAAGTCACTGATATTTTTCTGTAAAAAAAAATATCCACCTCTCCTCTCGTCTCTGAGCTGCCGTAATCTAACCTGTGAACTGCTGCAGGACAAACCTGATTACATGAACTGGCTTAGTTACGGGGGTCTTCCTGACCTCTCAGCCTGCCATCCGAGGTCTGCCGGGCCATGGCACAGCCTTGTTGTATGCTGGCTGGGAGCACAAGCCTCTATTAAGTCAAATTCATCTATCCACTGCTCTCAAATCACTTTTATTTAGCTGGTTCACTTCTGTTTCTTATAATGATTTCTCCCTGTTTATGCAACAATCCCATTTTCTCAGATCTCACATTTTCTATGATGTCTTCAAAATTCACTAAAGTAATCTCTTCTGATCTTTTTCAGTAATCCAATGCCATTCATATTTTGACATCTATTTTTTATCCTGAAGGTTATATAAATACACCATGCTTGATTAACATTTGATTATTTCTGTTCTGCTGTTAAAGATCAAAAACCAACCTCAACTATTTTAGATAATCCAAATGTTTTTAATATTGTAATCTATTGATGAATGTTTGCTGTTCAAATATGAAAGAAAATGTTTCTTTTATCTTTAACACCATCATTGTTTTCAACTCTGTCCCTTCTTCATCTTGGTAAATAACCACTTTCTTGGGCACTTTTGCAGAAATTCTTCCCAGATACAATAGGTCAAGTGGTAGCTGTAAGTATGGACCAAGTTCTTAGAACAATTGATTGCAATCTGCACTGCAACTTTATCCTTCATATGATGGCTCCTGAGTGGAGAAATGGCCCAAAAGAGACAGACAAGGGAGGATAAGCTTTTATACTTTACAGTATATTTGATAGCCTTTGATGTTTCTGTCCACAAAATGATGATTGGATTCTCTCTTTTTCAGTTCCTTAATAAATGTTACATTTCCACAAGTTTGTCTCCTAATAGCATATCTGTTTTTCCTAGATATAGCTCAATTCCCCTGAGAATAAGTAAATAATAATATACAATTATAGTGTCCAATATTATCTGTGATCAGAGAGAGATCTTAGTTCTCTGATTTCCTTGGCTACTGTTAAAACCAGAAATATTAGGCAGATAATTGGCAATGTTGCCAAACACTCATTCTCTTATTTTGAACTCTTATTTTTATCTGTGTTTTATAAGAATGATGGAAGACATATCAGAAAAGGTTTGTATACCTAAGAGAGACTGTCTTTAAAGTCAATTATTGGGCTTCCTAAAAGCATTTTTGCTAAATCAATCCTTTCAGGTTTGTTCAAAGTTAGTGACGCAATTACCTTATGGCATTACAGCAAGGTCACTTTCTGTTCCACCTGAATAATTTTAGCAATATTAAGGTATATTCTCTCCTGTGTCTTCTAATGTTTTTGGCAAGTGGACCATAAAAAATTGGATGTCTTTTTTGGTCTAGTAGTTGCTTCTTTCCTGCATTCCCCAGGAGCATTCCACAGATTTTGTTTTTTTCCTTCCTGGAGGAGACTTGGTTGACTGAGCTAGGCTTAAGGTAACAGTAAACTTTTATATTAAAATGAATGTATTCCCGTTATGGGATTTATCCAATGATGAAGTTCTCTGAAACATGGTACCTTTCATGAGGTAAAAACTGACAGAATTAAAAAGAGGAATACAGAGTTCAACAATAATAGTTCAAGATGTCAATGACACATTTCCAATAATGAATAGAACAAGTAGGCATAAGAATCAACAAGGAAATAGAACAGTTGAACAACACTAGAAATCAAAAAGATCTGATGGGTACGTATGAAATACACCACCCAACAATAGCAGAATATATACGCTTCTCAAGTGCCCATGGAATGTTCTGCAAAATAAATCCTATGCTAGCATATAAAGCAAGGCTAGGGCCAGCCTGGTGGCACAGTGGTTAAGTTTGCTTCGGCAGTTTGGATCCCGGGTGTGGACATGGCACCACTTGGCAAGCCATGCTGTGGCAGGCATCCCACATATAAAGTGGAAGATGATGGGCATGGATGTTAGCTCAGGGCAAGTCTTCCTCAGCAAAAAAAAGAGAAGGACTGACAACAGTTAGCACAGGGCTAATCTTCCTCAAAATAAATAAATAAATAAATAAATAAATAAATAAATAGAAATAAAATGCCTGCAGATGAATGATATGAAAATACAAATCCCCAAACTTATGGGAAGTGGCTAGGGCAGTACTCAAAGAGAAATTTATAGCTATAAAAACCAATATTAAAAAAGAAGATTTCAAATTGGTAAGCTAACCTTCATCTTAAGATACTGGAAAAATAAGAGCAAATTAAACCAAAGCAAGCAGAAAAAAGGAAATAATAAAGAAATCAACAAAATAGTAGGAAAACAAGAGAGAGACTTAATGAAACCAAAAATCGTTTCTTCAAAAAGATCAACAGAATTGACAAATGTTAAGTTAGAATGACTAAAAAAAAGGAGAAAATTCAAATTACCCATCTCAAGAATCAATGGGGGATATCACTACTGACATTACAAATATAAAAAGGATTTCACATACAAGGAACAACCGCATGCTAACAAATTAAATAGCTTAGGCGAAGTTCACAGTTTCCTAGAAAAACGCAACCTACCAAAACTGACTCAAGAAGAAACTGACCATTGAATAGATCTGTGACAAGCAAAGAGATTGAATTAGTCATCAAAAAGGTACCCACAAAGAAAAGCACAAACCCAGATGGCTTCGCTGATTAATTCTACCAAAGGTTTAAGGAAGAATTAATACTAATCTGCCACAAACTCTTCCAAAATTTAGAATAGGAGATGATGCTTTCCAGCTCATTCTATGAGACCCGTATTGACCTGATACCAAAACCAAGCAAAGACATCACAAGAAAATTACATAGTGTACTTGCTTGTGCTTTGATGTCATATCTAAGAAACTATTGCTTTACCCAATGTGACAAAAGTTTATTTCTCTGTTTTATTTTGTTTTAAAGTTTTAGCATTTTCATTTAAGTCTATGATCAATTTTGAGTTAATTTTTATGTCCTGAGTCATATGTCCGGGCCACAATGCAGACTGAGTAGGAGAGGATTTAGAACCAGAACATAGAGTGCACACAGGTCGCCATAGACACAGATGCGCATCACACTTGGAGAAGTGACTTACCCTATAACCTTGACTATTCTCACCTGTAAAACATGGAGTATGATTGTGTGTTAATACTTTCAATCTCAAAGGACTGTGACGACTGAGTAAGATGATTGAATTTAGTGTTTATTATAGTATCGCTGCTTGGTTTTTACTCAAAACAGTCAACTAATATTTTTATGATAAGCTGAAATAAAAATTAGAGGCAAATTTTTAAGTTTTATAAACTCATAAATGTATTTTAATGCTAGTGTTAACTCTTTGCCCTTATTATAATTTTTTATGACTATTGAGTAACTTCATATAGTTGCATTCCTCTAGAAAATGCTTTTTTCCTGGTCATGTAATATGGTACATACAATTCAGAATTACCTGGTATGTTTTTTGTCATTGTTGTTTACTTGGGGATACTGTTTGCAGTGGCAACATTGAAAATATATATATAAACCAAAAATAAACCATGGCACTTCCTTTAAACAAGAAAATAAACGTAGAAAATTTTGACTTACCAGTATGAATTCAATTTAACTGAGATGCATCCTCAAGCTTTGGCACCAGGGATGTAATTCTCTTCTCTGGTGACAGCCTTGAGGTCCTGGGATGGTTGTGTTAAGGAAAATCTCTCTTGGAATGTGCTGCAAGTCTGCGAGGTGGCTCATCCCTCTCTCAATGCCTGTAGAAGATGACATTAGTGGAGCCGTATTAAAATAGAGCCGGGGCAGCTATTTCAGAGGAATTGCCTTGCAGGTCTTGTTTTCTTCATCTCCCAAGCTGGACCAAACCACCAACATTCCCAGAAGTCTGTAAGGACAAGAATATCCTGTCTGTAAGGACTGATGAAATTAGAATTTGCTGATGACCAGATTGCTAACCAATCAATGAAGTACAAGTCTAGCCTTTTGCCTGATTACCAAAGCTCAAGGCAATCTGTGAAGTACAAACCTAGCCTCACCTCATCTAGCACCAATGAACTCTTCCTTAATAAAACTTGTCTCATCCTCCTCCCTTTTTCACATAAAAATCCCGAGCCCCTCTCTTGTAATCAGGACGCTATTTGAGTTTCTACCTGAATCTGTGCTCCCTGAATTGCAATTCTCTGATCCCCTCTTAAACTGGTTTGTGTTTTGGTAGGTTGACACCTCCTTCCCATCCCCAGATTTTAAGAGCCTGTTAGGCTACCCTCTTATCAGTAGAGCCAGAATACTCTCTCTGATAGAGCCATTCCTGTATGTATGCTAACTTTTCTCTCTTCCTTCTCTTCTTCAGCAGGACACATTTTCTCTCCCATTAACTACATTTCACTGCTAAATTGAATTATTGTGATTCTGTGACTCTAGGCAAATTAGGATTAGGTGGCCCCCATTCACTTTTCAAAAATTACTGATCACATCGCATACTCCATTTTATGGCTTTCTCTAAATTCTAAAGCCTTGTGACCTCTGACAGAAGAAGTGCTTTCGGGATTACACAGACCTAGCTCATTCTAACCCATGCTCTCCAGTGGCCATATTCTGTGTCTCGTGTTCCATTTTAAATCCACGTGCTACTTACACTCACCTCCCCCAGCCTCTCTACTCTTGTTCTTCTGGAGAACATCCAGATGACTTTTTTCTTTGGCTTATTAATTTGGACATCATAAATTTGGGATTTAATTCATCTAATTTTCATGGTATACTTCAACAATTTCCTATGCTCTTTAAAGTGTGTTTATTTTAAAAAATTTTACAACTTCCATATAAAATGTTAATCTTGCTTCCAGGAGTTTCCTCAACAGTGCTCCGGAGGACAAGCACATGAATCCAATTTGTCAATATCTTTTCAGATTTTTGTTGTTTAAAATATCTATTTTATTAGATAAAAAATAAAAAGTTCTCCTTTGGGCTTAAGTAAGTCAGACTTGATTTCTGAGCTCTGCAGCCAAAAGATAATCTCTCATTTTCCTGTAATAGTTCTAATTTTCGCCATGCAACGATATAATTAATTTTAGAATTTGAGTCATTTTCTTAATCTTGAGAACTAAAGGAGCCACCAAATAATATAAAATTGATAATGAGAAACAGGTCATTGTCTTTAGATGATGGCCTATTATAACATCTTGCCAAAACATACCTAACGATGCTCGTTTGCTTAAACCCTAAAACAGCAAATTTACACACCAATTTTTTCCTCAGGTTATTATATACATTTTTTTGTCCTTAATATTGCCATTAGAAATCACAAATTGCTTTCAAAGTAATCTCAGCCCAGATACCCTGTGGGTGACGTGGGAAATGGGACCTTAAAAGCGCTCCCTCCCTATTCGTCTCCTGATTTTCTCTGTGCTAGTCACAATTAGGAAAGCAGCAGCTGCTTCCATTTATTGCCTCACTGTTCCAGAGTTACATTGGACGTAGATGATAATGCTCTTCCTAGGACCTCTTTAAGGAACGTGGAACTGAATCTGAAAGAGAGCAAGGAAAATATCTGTGAAAGCATCTTGCTTTTAATTGGATAATTCAAAAGATCTAGTAGCATCCAGAACTGGTTAGAGCTCATAGTAACTGAGAGCGTTGTTCTCTCTGTGATACAGAAAGACAAAGAGTGAAGACATGTGAATACTCTAATTAAAAAACAAAAATGTGTAGGCATGCTGTCAGGCCAGAAGGAATTTTAATATACAAACAGTGCCTGCATGTGTTTGACATACACAGTGACAGTTTGAAAGGCTTTTTACATTCACCACATTTTCATTAAAATTGAGCATGTAAAACTAGACATTCTATTACCAGATCATAAAACCAATATATCCTTCGTTGTTTCTTGAAACAAGATTTTCACAAATTTTCAGCTTTAAGGATGCAACCTTGGGAAAGGTTCTGAGGGGCCAATCAAAAGTTAATACAAAAATATGCCAAAGGAAAAGATTTTTAACTTAAAAAAGAGTCGTTTTGTTCTTTAAACAATGTTATTCAATAGAAATAAAATGCCTAAGTTTGCATGAAGCTAGGCAATAATCATATTTATTCTGAGCATCATATTTTAATGATAATACATTAAAATTTTGGTTTACAATAATGTCAGTATATAGAAGAAAACTGTTTTTTAATCTGCTTTTAGGAGAAAGAGAAATCAATCCAAGAGCAACAAAAATAAATTTCAGACTAGATTCAAAGTAAGTTAGATTCTGAGTTTATGTCTGTGGTGTTGATCCCATCCTTCATTTACTAGCACGTCTTTCTCGTCTACCCTCAATCTGTCCTGCTTTATTGCCTCTTTTCTTTCATTCACTAAACAATATGGTAGCATCTTACCTAGTTAGGTTATTTATATAGCTTTCATTAACAAAAGTTGATATTCAAAAAGATTTTAGTGTTACCAATTATCTTCATAATTAATACTCCTTTCATTCCACTTGTTTGAAGTTTTACTTAATGGTGAAAGGAAAGCCACAAGGAGGATGAAAAACTGACATAATGGCATCACGCACTCATTATCTAAGATTGTATTCTGACATTTGCTTTGACACCAAAGGAAATTATTTCCACAGTAACTAGAGAAACAGATTTACTCTAGTTTAGAGCCATTTCTATCAGTGATTACTGATAAGGAATATATTTGATACTTTGTAAAGAACAATAATTACACCAACTGTGATGCAACAAATTTCCAATGGTGTGACCCTGTTTGGGCAGTCAGATTTGCATAGTAATTTGAACTCATACACTCCTGAAAGTATTAACTCTCACTGTTTTAATAACAAATATTGATTAGGCGTCTACATTGGTCCAGGGACTGAACTAATTACCATACAGTATTAATATAAATAACAGTCAATAGAGTTATAAAAGCTGGAAAAGACCTATAGAAGCTAGAATTAGGTTCAGTAAGATGGAATTAAGGGAATTGCAAGTAACCAAGCCCGAAACAAGACAACTTTGAATCCTAAAATAAGTCCAAAAAGTCAGAAACAGACTTATTAGGAAACTGATGGGCTCTACCAGATGGTGAGAAAGCATTATGAAGGAGTCACTATGACAAATACCAGTCAGACTTTTCAAAATCCCATTGTTCAGACAACATAAAAGGTTATTTCTACAATTATAGGCCTGTAGCGCAAGGCAAACACTCTCTGAATGGTGGTATCCTAACATTTCTAATTTTTGAGATCTTAAAAATTATTTGACACTCAGTTTATAACATTATTGGATATAGAGTAGGTATTCCTGGCATGGGAAAGAGAATAGGCTAGAAGAGTAGAGGCACTGAAATAGGACAACGAAGTGAAACGATGAATGTTACTTACTTTACCCTTTCACTTAAATCAGGAACACTAAATATGGGACACAAGAGGCTCTGCAAACCCCAGTCTTCCAACCCTGGCAGGCACCACTAGCTGACCAAAGTCCTCTTTTCCATTAACCTAAGATACACTTCAACCCAGAATTCTGAAGCCACTTTTGTGGCTCAATGTAGTTCAAAGTGAATTTAATTGTCCCAACATTTCCTCAGACAGGAAGAAACAGGAAAAAAACAAAACCTGGCTTGAATCAATAGTGCTGTATTATCAGAAATTATAAGCCCAGAAAAAGGACTAAATACTACAGAGCCACCAAAATAATAGAGAATTTGGTTAATGCCAAGCCTTGTCTGTGGCAGCAATGAATGCACAGATATGCCTCCGATTATCCTGGGGTTTAAATAACAGAGGCTCAGATATTCCCACTCATGTATAGAGCGTGCTAGGCGTTTCCTGTTGTCCTGGATCCTAAAATTTTAGAAACCTTTGGTGTACTTTCACTGCTCAAATTAATGTTAGGCCAAGAATAGAAAGATATGCTGTGAACAAAGGTTCATATGTTATGAACAAACAAAAGGAAATCAAATGGTACTCCTCAACAGTAAGCAAGCCGTATTTATCACAACTTGAGAATTGTTTATTATTATTGGTAGAGTCAATGCTCTGTACTTAGCGACTCATAATTACCCCCATGTCTTTGCAGATGCTGCTTGCTCTGCCTGTGACAGCTTTCCCCAGCTTCCACCTCTCCAGGTGTCTGACTCCTTCAGGATTCAGCTGAAGAGTTACTTTCCCCAGGGAACGTTTTCCCATTTGTTCAAGTTTCATTAGTTGCCAGTTGTCCAGGATCCTCTGGAATTCTACAAATCTTGCTTCTATGGCACTTTTCACACATGTTGTGATTGATTGTTGCTGTGTTTATCTGCCTACCACAGGGGACCATGAGATCCTTAAGCATATAATCTATTTCTACCAGACACCTTTCATTATAACTGGTAATATCTTTAATTATAACAGATAGAGTGAGAAAGTGGCAAGGAACGAGAGCAGAGAGATGGGAAGGAGTAAGTAATAAAACTAGTAGACATCTCAGATGTAATAAGTACACAGCAGAACACTTGATTCTCTGCTCCTGACAATACCGCTCTGCCCTTGGATTTCCTTTTATCCTGAAATGGCACTACCATTTACTCAGTTGTTCAAATCTGGATCTTTGTAACAAGGAGTCTGACTCCATTCTTGATGTTTGACCCCTGATAGTTTTTAAGACTCAGCACTCCGTTTTCCCCTTGTGCCTCACTTCTGGGAAAACTGATAAGAAACCCTGGTTGCTGCCTCCTTCTGCACAGGCAGGAGATTCAGACCACGCATGGGAAGTCTCACCAGAGCCCTGTGCCTAACCACAATAAAACCCTGAGCCAGTCGCCCTTCCTGGCATTCTCAAACCATTTCAGACTTGCTTGAAAGGCCTGCCCCATCCTTTCCAGCTACCTCAATTATGTAAGTAGTGAGCCTCTTAGTGTGGATTTGGCATCATCAGTCTGGATAGCCAAACCAAATTTGGGGGGGGGGTCCCTTCTGCTTTGGAGGTTGACTATGACAATTTTACAAGTTATCCTTAATTCCTTTTTTCCTCATACACCTAACAAAATACTCAATCCACACCTATCAATGCTACCTTCGATTCATATTCCTAACCTCTCCCTTTTCATGGCCTCTTAAGTCTGAGACATCATCATAACTCTTGGGCTATTTATCACCATCCTGCCATTCTTGCCTCTCAGGAATTCATTCAAACACAATCACCACAACGTTTCTAAAAGATAAGTATATCTACTGACCTTTCTACACATTTCGAATAAAATTCTAATGATTCAACACCTACACAAGCCCCAATCTGAAGGCAGGAAAGATGACGTCGCAGCTCAACCAAACAAGCAGAAAGACAGTGAGTTTTCCCTTTCTCTGCCTTTTTGTTCTCTTCAGGCCCTCAGTGGATTAGGTGATGCCCACTCACTTTGGGGAGGGTCATCTGCTTCACTCAGTCTCCTAATTCAAATGCTAATCTCGTTTGGAATCACCTCGTAGACACACTCCGTATGACGTTTAACCAAATATCTGAGCACCTTGTGACCCAGTCAAGTTGACACATAAAATTAACCTTCACATCACCATTTCCTAAACTGTTCCATCACATTCCATCCCTTTACCCTGCTATATTTTTTATTACATTTATTACTTCATTCTATTGCATTGTATTTTCTTTTTTACTTTGTTGAATGTATCTCCCAGTAGAATATATATTTCAAGAGGCAGCCTTCATCACTGGAATATACCCAGTACCCAGAACAGTGTCTAGCTCATAGTATACACTCAATAAAATATGTGACGGTTAAATGAATAAGTTAACAGACGTATCTCCAAACACCTGTACATATCACATACACACACACATATACACACACACACAAGCCAAACTAAATGTATGTAATGAGGCTGAATAAATGAGGAAACAATCTGAATCAAATCTGAAAAAGTCAAAAGTCCAGCCAGCAAGCTTTAGAGAAAAGTAGCAAATGAGTATATAGAAAAAAGCCACAATCGCAGCCTCAGCAGATTCATTGTCAGTCTTCTCTTGACCATCAACACTAAGAGAATGCAGAATTAGGGTATGATGTCGGCTTCCAGTCACATTATCCTTCTAGTCCATGCACAATTGAAATGTTATTCTATTATACACGGTTTCTTCAGTTTCCTCTTTTATGCAAATAACTCAGTTATGAAAATTATTATTATTTTTATTGTTAAGGTACTCATATATTTAGTCACATAAAGAAGTCCCTGGCATCTTTTGACCTCTCCACTATGAAAGGGCATGAGCTCTCAGCTAACCACGTAGCTATTGATTGTGTCGGGCTGGTCTTCTAGAGTCCGCTCCTCATGCTTCTTGAACCAGAAAGAGAACTCGGGAGTTTCCGGGAGAGTGGTTAGAACCCTGGACTCATTAGTGCAGCTGCAGGATTGGAGAGAAGCTTCACGAGATTGTTTCCAGGTGGTAAGAAATGAAGACGTCTCCAATGCATAGCTGGGACGGAAGGAGACTGACTCGTTTCGCTGGTAAAACATAATCTCTCTTTGAAGCCAGACTACAGCTATCTACTCAGGTAGATTATTGGAGCAGAGAAAGGTTTTTAGTCAGTCCAAGCACTTGAATATCTGCACAATATAAGTTTGGGAGGTTTATGCTTCTTTGTGTGTGTGTGCTCGCATGTGTGTGGTGTGTTTACTTTTTCATTTTCTCATTTCGAATCTTCATTTAGAAAACTGCAGCCAGATTCAACAGTGCTCAGAAGAATAAAACTTAAATTATTTTTGTCCTTTCTCAGTCAAAAGTTTTAAAGAAGGAAGACTACCTCCAAAGAACAAGGAATGCAGTACCAGTGCCCGTTTTTATGAGTGAATCTCAAGTGGAAGGTGACAGACAGCAGAACAAACACTATAAAGCATAGTGGCTAAGAAGACAAGCTTTGGAATCCAGCAGGGCAGCATTCAAATTCGGCTTCTCTCATTTATTGTAAGATATGGAGAAATGATTTAATTTAATATCCTCAGTATTTACAATAATTCTAACACAACTCACCTCATCAGGTTATTATAGGATAAATAAAATATGCATGCAGAGTGTTTAGCACAGAACTTAGCATACGGTAGGAGCCATATTACAGGAAGTCAATCTTAAGATCATTGATTGATATAAACATCTACCATCTCCTCTAAAATTTTAGAGGTACAAAGGATTGTGTATTATATCTTCTGAAATGAATGTTTCACTTACCAACCCGTATATACCAATAAAATCATATTGTAACATAATGATAATTCTTATTCGCATGTGGAAATTTACCAGAAGTATGTGCTCAGAGATGCTCATTAGTTCACAGTAGATTACAATATCAAATACCTATAGGAGAATGAAAACAGAAAAAAAAAGCAGCAATTTTTAAGTTTTGTTTCTTGGCACTCTCAGTTTTCTTGTGTTTCCTATTTTTGTTCTGTTTTAAAGCCCATGCCTTGCTTCGACAGGTTTTACAGCCTGATTGCCTTTAGGGCTGCTATTTGACAGAGTTCTTTCATAACCCACCACAAGAAGAAATTAATTTTATTTTACTCAAAACCTGGATCAATAATTTTTAATGCTTTTATGCATGATGATTTTTTTTTACATATCCTAGCAGGAGACAGAGAGAGATCTGTATAGTAAATCTTAAAGCAACTTTATTTTCAAACACATGAGAGTAAAATCAGCTGGAAAGCTTGAGAGCACAACAGCTATGAGAGAGTTTAGAAGAAAAGAACAATGTAAAAACGAGTGAGTTGTTGTTGTTGCTGTTGTGTCTCATAGACAAGATACAAGAAAACAAAGAAAGCCGGGCTAGGCTCTGATTGACTTCTAAGCATTCAGTTAAAATTGTGCAAGATGGTATAAAGCCATCAAGAAAGCCACTGAGGAGGATGAATGCTTAGCCTCAACCATCTGTTCCCTGTGGGGGAAGGGTATCTTCTCAATCAGTAAGTTGTTTGCTTTGATCCATGGCCTGTTGTCCTGAGTTACTGCAGGAATCAAGCCAGGTTTCAACCTCAACTCACTCCCTATTTAAGTCCCTGATACTTCAGTACATTTTATTCTAACCTACTTCTGCTGGGTAACTTGGGGGGTGAGTATCTCCTCCAGTATTACTAAGGTATTTACTGATGATCTTCTAATAAATTCAAATGTAATAATCCTCTTCTAACTTTAATTATACTCAAAAGTTTTACCCTTCCTCTATTTTTAAAGGCAATTGATTCTTTTATTTATTTATTTTTTCTGGCCCTGAGCTAACATCTGTTGCCAATCTTCCTTTTTTCCCCCCAAAAATTGTATTCCTAGTTGTAGGTCACTCTAGCACTTCTATGTGGGATGCTGCCACAGCATGGCTTGATGAGCGGTGAGTAGCTCTGCACTCAGTATCTAAACCGATAAACCCCAAGCTGCCAAAGCAGAGTGAGTGAACTTAACCTCTTGGCCAAGGGCTGCCACCCCCCCCCCCATATTTTAAAAATTATCTATTCCCCACACTGTTAAATTGAAATATAGAATTTAAGCATAAATTTGAGTAAATTTACAGTTTATATCCCAATGTATTATATGTGGTAACATTTCATTAAATATGTGTTTATTAAACCTTGAGGCTGCAGATTTAGTTCATTTCATTTCTGGAAAGTATCTGCCATGTGGGTGAATTGACAAAGCTCATCCACATTAATAAACCGATCAATCAAATCAGAAGTAATTTATTCCAGAACAACCTAACTTTATTTTTAAATTCTAATAAATAGGTTAATAAGTAACCTATGAAAACTTTCTCCAACTAAATTCTAGTTTTAAAACAGAAAAAAGCCCATGCCAACCTCCTCAGGATGTCTCGTTAAATCTCTCCTGTTTTCCTCTTAGGGGTCTTGGCTTTAGGATTTTAGAAGCAGTGCATTCCTAATGGTGCCTCTGTGTGTTCCCCTGCAGGGCCTCCTCCCTGGGATAACACACCGTGGTAAGATCCATGAGAAGCATGCCTTTCTGCTGCAAAACAGGAGAAAAATGGCTGTGAGAGGAGAGGTAGAAATCCACGGCTAGTAGATAGACTCTTAGTCCCGTCACTTTTGGAGAAGTCCACCTATGGAATTGAGATCTTGAAATTGCTATCCTTGCCCCAGCTAACATCTGGAAAGCCTTCCTTTTCTTTAATTTGAAGATTACGACTTAAATCTTCCACCTTGTTTTTTCCACCATCTCTGTTAAAATTTTGATGTGATCGTGTAAAATCACTGAGTTGCAAAACGTTTGGAGACAGGATATGTTGTCCAGATATTTTTAATTAAAGAGCTGGAAGTGAATTCTGAAAACTACATTTGTATGTCTGAATTCAATAACTCACAAATTTTTTTTAATTTAAAAAACTTTTTTTTTAGAGATTGGCACCTAAGCTAACAACTGTTGCCAATCTTCTTTTCTTCTCCTTCTTCTCCCCAAAGCCTCCCAGTACCTAGTTGGATATTCTAATTGCGAGTGCCTCTGGTTGTGCTATGAGGGATGCTGCCTTAGCATGGCTTGACAAGTCATGCCATGTCCGCGCCCAGGATCCAAACTGGCGAAACCCTCTGCCGGTGAAGAGGAGTGCGTGAACTTAACCACCTGGCCACGGGGTTGGCCCACTCACAGAAAATTTGACCAAATTCTTAAATAGTTGACTTATGAGGCCCAGGGCACCAGTGATATTGATTGCCTCAATCACATCGACTTGGCCTTATCTCCGATCCCATTCAAGTCTTGGGTAAATGGTACCATGCAGACATCCCAGGCCAAGATTACTTTAAGCTGACAGGTCCTCATGTCACATACATGTCATCATTTCATTTTCAGCCCTGGGACGACTCCTCCGCAGTGGACACTTGCAGCAGCAAAAATGCTTCAGAAACATGGGGAAGTTATTCAGGAGCAATCTTCAACCAGTGAAAAGTAAGCTCTGACGGACAGGCAAATACCATTTCAAAGCATTCTGTGGCTTTTTGGAAGGTCTCAGCTGAAACAAGCTCCTCATGCTGGTGACCTGAATAACTCTCCCTTATATGGGCTTTTTCTCCTTCCGCATCTCACTCTCTATTTTCCCCAACTCCTATTCTCTGGGATAATATAATGAGTTAATTTCACACAAGACCTTGTTGCAAGCTGTGCATTCAGAGAAACACAAGCTAAGGTATTACTAATAGCAGTAATCTTAGCAAGCAGACCCTCAGGATTCCCGAACTGTTTCACTTACTCAAAAAACAGTAAGAAAGGTTCCTCTGCTAACGGGGAATGAGATGATGATAACGCCTGGCCCCTGACACTTTCGTTAAGATACTCATCTGTGGCAGATTGGAATAAAGTACAGTTACAGCAAGAAGTGCTTAGACTACGCACTTGAACAATTTTGTATTTGCCTTGCTTAGTCAACTACTTTGAAAACTTTGTTAATTGCTTTGTTAACTTTTTTTAGAAGTCACCTGTAAAGAGAAAGGACAAGTTCAGTTCAATCAAGTGTCAGCTCAGGAATGCTGTGACAGCCAGAATTTCTACATGGCAGTGTTTAAAAAAGATTCTTGTGTCAAGGGTCTGGGGTAGACTGGGACATACCAGTTCACTGATGGGTCTGAAGATGGATTGCTGTTGCTCTACAAACCTACTCAGAGATATTCTGAGTTATAAGTGGTTTATTGGGTTGTTTTATTTTATATAGAGGAAGGATCAGCCTGAGGCAAAAATACACATAAATGCCTTGGTAGTGACAAATGACTTGAATGGTTCATCAGAGGCCTTGGAGGATCTGATAAAAGGTAATCAGAGAAGGGGAATACAAATAGACCAACAGAAGCTGGCAAAAGACATACGTATTTTTGTGTCTCATGTTAATGCCCAGCAGAGATCATTCACTGCACAAGAAGCACTCAACCAGCCAGGTGGACAGGAGGATCTTTACTTTAAGGAAAGGATCATTACTTCCCATCCTTCCCATTGCTTGTGTGATGAGCCCTTCAAAAGTGGATCAGTTGTAGAAGAGATGAAGTCTGTGCATTGGTTCAGCAGCTTGAGTTCCTTCCAACTAAAGCTCATCTCACTACTGAAGCTGCGGCTGAATATCCAATTTGTCATCAGTAGGTGTCAACTGATATGGCATGTGCCCTTGTTATTAAACAACTAAACAAAAATATATAATAATATGATAGGTAGGGATTGGTGTTACAAAGAAAAATAAGACAGAGTATGATGACAGTGTCTGAGGGAGATGAGTGTTTCTATTTTCTTTTTAACAGATTAATAAGAATTGTTTTTCAGATAAGGTGAGATTAGACCAGAGATCTAAAAGAAAACAGCAGAACAGGAATTTGGATAACTGCTGAAAGCACATTTCAGGAAGTGTGAATTTCAAGCTCAAAATTCCTGGGGCTGAAGCAGGTTCAGTGTGATGGAATAATAGCCAGGAGGCCAGTGTGGCTGGAGCATCTGAGTGAGGAGGAGAGTATTAAGACATGAGGACTAAACTACAGTGAGAGGGATGATTTTAGGAGCATTTATAAAATTCTAAACTCAAAAGTATTTTTATGAGTGAAATGAGAAACCATTGGAGAATTTGAGAAGAGGAATCCTACGACCTGGTAATTCAAAGGGCTCTCTCGGTGAAGGGTGGAAGGCACATCTCCTCTGTGGGCTAATATTAATACCAAGGGTGTTATATAGGAAGCTACGTAAAAGGCTCATAGAGAGATGACCATGACTTAGACTAGGTTAGTTCAGGGAAAGGTGGTGAGGAGAAGTGGTCAACTCTGAATGTACATGTGCACATGCACACTCATGCACATGTCTGCAAAGGGTTTGACTAAATTAGAAGAGAGATTGGGAAGGCTGGGCTCAAAAGTCTCTTTTATCTCTCAAATTTCTTGCTTATAAATGTCAAAGACATTAATCAGAGAAATATATTTTTTCTCTGTGTATTTGATTAGTAACCCTCTAATTTGGATTAAGTACACACATATATAAACCTACATAAACATATGAATATGCAAAAACTACATATCTCCTAATTAGATTCATGACTCATTTTCCTTCTATCTTTTAATTATATGTAAATATTTGGGTAAATGTGATTTGTGACCTGAATGTTTTTTTCCACGTCTCAGAGATTCCTTAAAATCTCACTCAGCTCTGAATTTAGAATATTTGTTTTATGTTTGCATTTAATGTTCATGTACTATTATTGGTTTGGTTTTTCTTTGTATTGTCAGTCTTTTTATATTGTTTTAAAAGGAAATATAGAAAAGGAGGAGACTTTTTCAAGCTTACAAGTTACTGTTTCAAAAACAGAGGCACCGTTACTGTGACTTCTGGAAGAGATTGCTTTTATGTCATGATTTCAACTGATGTGCCTTCAGAAAGCGTGTGACCTGGATAAATCATGGTGATGTGTGAGGTGCCACGGCTGAGATGTGATTCATTTCCACATAGACACATTGTCTTCAACTTCTACAGTGAAGTTTATTGAAAAACGCATTTGTTAAAAAGATCAACTTTCTTCTCTCAATAATTTTTTTCCCTTTGATGTTAACATTTATAGCCCTTACCCTGGCTTTCTACTAGTATTTCAAATTAACATTTGAAATGACTTCCCTATAGTGCAGAGCCCGGCACCAGGGATGGGAACCTCCATTCACCTTAGGGAGCCCATGGTGAGCTCTTGAATCCCAGCTCTACTTTCTTCTCCCAAGAGCTACGAATTCCTGGCTTTGAAAACCTCTCAGGGACCACTGCCATGCAGAGCTCTCCCCAGTGATTTCTTCTAACCTTCCTCTGCAGCTGCCACTTATATATTTTCTATCACTCCGTGGCTTAGCAGATGGAGTCATTAAAAAATAATGAATCTTTAGAGTTGAACTCATCACTGTAATGAAATTTCACATAAATGCTCCTTCCACCAAAATGTAATATGCTTAGTTGGCACAATGGTTGTGCAGTTAAACACAGAAGAGAAAGCAATCCTTAATTCTATATGCCTCACCTCAAGATATTCAAATAACATTTTGCAAGTCACTTAACCTATTTTTTCTTTTTATATATGCGTTCATATATATATATGAAAGTGGTGGATGTATTTTTATACAAAATGAATAAAGATGCTTTTTTGGATAAGGTGAGAGTACAGCAGAGACCTAAAAGAAAAGAGGAAACAAGGAATACGGATACCTGGAAAAAGCACATTTCAGGAAGTGAGAAACTCAAGTCCAAAATTCCTGGGGCTGAAGCAGGCTTAGTGTGACAGAACAATAACCAGGAGGCCAGTGTGCATGGAATATCTGAAAGAAGAAGAGATTATTAAGTACGATGTCCAAAACATGGAGAGATGATTATAAGACCATTTATAAAATTCTAAGTTTTTATGCTTGTATTCATATATGTATGTATGATTAAATATGTATTCATAATTATTTAGACAATGCCTCTGATCAACACTCATACATTCACGTAGACATGCAGGGTATGTGTGTAGGGTTGTGTGTAGCACTGAGAGAAAAGACAACTTCTACTAGGGAACCCGTTGCTCTGGTTACCTGTTTTGTCATAGAAAAAGATTTTTTAGATGGGAAGAAACAGTAGGCAGCATCCAAACCCAAAGTTCAATTTATGGATGAGAAAAACAAAGCCTGGGGAGGTGAAATGACCCATCCAAGGACAGACATCTAATTACTGGGAGAGCAAGGGTGAGAACCCAGATGCCTGGGCTTTCAATTAAGCATCTTTCATCTGCAATACCATAGTGACTAATGATTAGAATGTTCAAAGACTAACAAAATAACGGCTTCTTTCTGAAAAAAAAGAGTAAAATTTACAGGAATACTTAATAGATGAAGACAGCTACAATTTACTGTTAGGAAAAAATATGCAGCACGCAGCATACTTGTAAGTTCTCGAATTATGAACAAAACTGATCCCCTGAATAGTATCCTCAAATTCAAACTAGTAAATCAAATGTAATTACTTTGCAGCTATTTAAATAGGATTTACTGAGAGGGATAGCCTCAGTTTTACATAGGCGCTGATAGGATGATTGAAGTCAATATATCCCCTCTGGCTAACATTGCATCTGCTGGGCAAACTTAAGAGTTTTCTCAAACTTCAGAGATGAGTAATGTGAGTTATTGCCCAGATGGATGATGATTATTCACTATAACCATCCTCCATTGCCCCCTAAACAAGGTATCTTTCTGGATAAGATGTAAATATTAATGAAATCTTCTGTTCAGGAATCAGTGCTGAGATCAGAAGAGTATGAAGAATCTGGACCTTTGTAGTGAAATTAGCCTC